GTCTTAGGAGAAGACTGGCTCGCAGGAATTTGAAACCATATATTCATCCAAGTCTTACCTCCTTTCACTGGAAAACCGGAGAGGCTGCCTATGGGAGGGGCTTACACTTAAGAGCCTACCAGACTGGGTGCTGCTCAAAAAGTGGACCATAGTATGTTCATCTCTCTGTATCCCAAGAAACAGTGTACCGGACAGGAAAGCTATGTTGGGTGAAGAAACACACTGAAAATTCATGCACCGTCTGGTCTGCTAAATTGAATGGTGCTAGGCAGGGAAAATTCCTCAGCCCCAAACTCCAGGGAAAGAACAACTCAGAGGCCTAGAGCACAGGGTCGCATAGTATTCACAGAGCACAGCCCTCTCTATGGAAGCCACCATACCACCAGTGTGGGATGACACTTGGAGAGGCACACTTGGGCTGTGGTCCCCAGGAAATACCTTATCTTTGCACCTTACACCAAGGACCGCCTCACACCAGAAGTAACAGAAAGAAACAGTGAGATCAATGACTCATGCTGAGTCCTGCTGATATTCTCACAAGCAAAAGCTAAATGTCCAGCTGCAAAACATATCTCAATTTCCTGCTCTATCTCTCCCCTAAGCCCCACCATTTAAGTAGAATAAAGTGACTCAAAAAAGTAAAGTATAATCAGAGCCTTCCAATATCCCCTCAGCTGCTGATGGTATGGAAGGTTAGATATTGCTTAAGAGAAGATTAAACTGCCTTATGAACAAGCTTCTTGCACACTAAATTGTGAAACAGGATCACATGGTCAATGGGATCTAATCAATAGTACATTCTTTTTCAGTAGTTCTCTATTTTGAGTGCATATTAATCACTCACCCTTCCATGAAACCTAAGTTGGTACATTATATTCCTTTCCCTTTAAAGTATAAATTTCCTTAGGAAAATGTAAGTTGAGGCCAGTTTTGTCTTGTGGAAGCAGAATTAATGTAGCTTAAGTAACTACCTAAGAGTGTGACAGGAATCTTAAAAACATGACTCAAAGCTAGTTTAGTTAAAGCTTGAGCAATTTAAGGAAATTGCCTAGGCGAGTAATTGGTATTGTACCAAAACTAAATATTTCACAGTTACATTTGCTCTTGCCTAAAAATAAAAACTAGAGCAATACAAGGGAAAACTGCCAAGACTGAAAATAATATACAGCAGCTGTAAGTAATTGGGAGTGATAATCATAATTAGACAAGATGTAAGATATGTGTTAAAACGCAGATTGGATCTTCCTGTTGACAACTGGGAGAAATCCCAGAGGTTTAGACTCTACATCTAGCCTGGGCACTTCTGCCTTCTGCCTGAGACACGGCCTCCAAAACCCAACCTGCCATGAAGTCCCCCACGAACCCTCTCTCTTGGTGCCATGTGTCATCCTGTTCTCATTGGCAAAAGAGAAAGCCATAGAAGAAAAAGAAGGAGTGACACTCCCTAATGTTGAGGAGACAGCAAGCCAGAGAACAGCCAATTATCCAGCAATAAATGGCATTTTATAATATCTTGCCAAACTAGCCAAGAAAAAGGAGAGGAACTGATATTTTTGTAAGACAAAATGGAGGACATCTTTGGAAGTCCAGAGAAACATTTTGGAGTTGTTGATAGTTTTGCTGAGTCTTGAAGCCAATTCTCAAAATAGCAGTCAGTTACTTTCTTTCATTTTTTTAGCATCAAATATTGGGATTTTACATGCTAAGCAAATTGAATTGACCCAAATAGTACTGAGAGCCTTAAATTTAACACTGTTGACCCTCTTGTCTAAATACTTCACTTCAAATACACACACAAACTACATCCATCAATGAGAATAAAGTCATCGAACAAAAGAAAATTCTAGCTAAGGGCTAATGTGCAGTCATTTTAGAAATTGAGATGTATATATACTGAAGTACATGTACTATGTCATTGAATTTTTTTCTAAAAAGAAAACAATCTGTAGCCTGAATATTTGCCCTTGTGTGTCTTTTCAGCCTGCCCTCATTTCTCGCAGTATTTGAATATGTCCCACATTCTATATTTGTGTGTTTATTTGTACCCCTTATTAGACTGAACTCTTTTTTCGAAGGAGTGGATTGTAGTTTATTTATCTTTTCCTATGCGTTGTTTAATTCAGCCCCTGAGCACATAAAGGATCTGGTATACAGTCGAGGAGCATAAATGATATCTAACTTCCCCATAGCTATCCAACCTCATATTCCTTTGACTAAATCCACCCTTTATTTTTTGGCCTATCGACCATTCATAATTATCGTGCAGGCCATGACTTTCAGTAACTGCTGGCTCACAACGCAGCACCCAGTGTCCAGCATTCTTTAGCAGTAACAGAAGAATTAGATTTAGAAACAACTAAAAGTGCACCAGTCTGTGGCATCAGTGATCTAGCAGGCTGTTTTCGTGGTAGAGTAATGGTAATTTTTAAGTATGCTATTGATAATGCCTTTGTTCTGCTTAAGACAGTAAGAGACTAAGTAGAAGAGATCCATACTGGGAAAAAACATGATATTAAGAACTGTATTCTGCTATTGTTCTTTTTTTTTTAATACTCTCTTTAAAATAAAAAAGAGGAAGTAGATGATAAAAGGAGCATATATGGGCATGTATGGAACTCAATAACAAAAGGACTGCATCCATCTAATTAACTATTGCATTTGCAGGATTTAGTGTAGTGTTTGATACCTGCCTCAATAAAAAATTGTTGGGAATGAAGGGCTGAAAATTTAGTAGCTTATTTTTTTGTAGACTATATCTATGTGGCTTGCTCCAGAGAGATTTTAGGCTAGAAATACACATTGTAATTACAAATAATTTATTTACTCAATTGTAATTACAAATAATTTATTTACTAAGTGAATCTTTCACTTAGCTCTTTCTTGGTCATCTACTACCTCTTTACCATCTAATACTTTGTGTCAAGGAAAGCAAATATAATAAGACATTACCTGGTGTTAGAAATAGATATGTAAACAAATACTTGCAATGTAGCATGCTAATGAATAATGAAGGAATAATATCATTTGGTGATGACACAAAAGGGACACAAAGCTCAGCTTGTAGGAGAAGGAGAAAGGATTCCAGAAAGGTTGCTCTAACATTCATTTTTAAGGATGAATGAGTTCTGAGGTCATTGAGACTACATCCAGTTGTGTACTACGTAACCTGTCCTGGTAACAAAAATATCCTTGCTTTGCAAGCTTAGCTTTTAAACTTTTTTTATCCCTAGTACAACTTCCTATATTTATTACTTTCCTGTACTATTATATTAGTTTTATTGTACTCAAGATCCCTATTAAAAAACACTGCTCTGAAACAGTTGTTATTTCCATGTCATACATCAATTAAATACTTACTTATATTTTTAAAATATTCTTCTGTCTTTATCAAGAGAAAACAAGGAATCTTATGGCTTTAAACTAGATTCCTTAGATATCAGCTATTAAAATCCTATCTATTCAGCAAAAGGTTTATTTTCCTCATCACTTTTACATTTTTAAAACTCATTTGTGATGCATACAGCTACATTCCACAGTTGATCACACTCTGTGTTTATTGAAAAGTAGTCTCTTCAGCATCGGGACCTTACTTACCTGGAATCAGCAGTGGCCCTGCCAGGAGGTTTTTCACCTTCAGAAGCCAATGTATCTCTATCCCCCTTAGCTTCTTAGAGTATAAGCAACACAATCCATTCTTCTTGCTGCAAAACAATGTAGTCACTTGTGAAAGTCCCACTGAAAATCTCCAGCAGGTAATTCAAAGTCAGTGCAAGTAAAACTCATCCTGCATTTGAGTTATAGACTTAGGGGTGAAACAGTACATTGTTTTATTATGCTTCTCAATTTCTACTGGGAAATTTTGCTTAAAATCAAGTTTAATTAAGAAAAAGCAGTTAAAGCTATGTGGGTGGATATTTTTATTTCTACTATTATTATTGTGGCAAATGAGAATTAGTCCTGAGCAAGTCTGAACACGTCTGAGACATTCATCATAGAGCAAAATATAATCCACACATGAGGAAGCAACAGTGCTCTTGGAAGACAAAGTAGAATGCACTCTATGCCTCCAACCATAGACCAAACTTAATGAATCCTTGGGTGTGTATGAAAAATCACCGTGACTCTCAGGAAAATATCACCTGAACGTCTCCATTTATAAAACTTGGTTTTTCTAATGTATAAATAAAGTTATAGATTCAGCTTCAACCTCCTTATGATCTGCCTCAGCCTAGAGACCTAAACACTGTACCTTACAACTGGAAGTCATCCAACCTGCCAAGAGTTCAAGTCTCAGTTCCCTCCACTTCAGGCCTCAAACTCAGTCCAGCAAGACTAAGCTAGATTTAGATCCTAGGATTCTGTCTACTCTCTCCTTCCCTCTTGGCTTTGAGGGTGTTGTTTCCTTCTCCACGTGGTGCTTCCTTTCATTAAAACTCTGTTCCCTTGCCCAAGCAGGTTTATTGCCCAAGTCTGTGGCACTCCTGTTGGTACATGCAACTCTTGTATCCTTAGGATTGTATTAGAATTGTCCTCACCATACACAGAAATGTCTTTGGTGGGGATCTTTTCTGGTTGCTCTAGATTTTAGTCCAGTATTTGTCTGATAAAGGTTTACGGGTCTGTGCGCGAATGGATATTGTCCATTAATATAATTATTTACCATTCACATAGAGAAATAGGAGTGTTCATGGCCACTTACTGAATATGTAGTGTGTATCAACCCCAGTTGGATGTGCGATGTCTCTGGATTTTGCCACCGCTCTGCCAACCAGATTACATTATTTCTGTTATGGATGTTTTGCCCTTGAGAAAAACTGAAGCTCAGAGAGGTTAGTCAAATGGACCAGATATTCTCATAGAGCAGAATCAGGTGTGAGCCTAATTGTGCACCACCCCTAAACCTGTGAGTTTCCCAATACACCTCGGTGCCTCTTGATTATTGTTACGATGCTAAAAGACACAAATTAGATTTTGATTTAATCTTTTCCATTTCTTTCCAGCTCCAAGTACAGCCCAGTACGGAATTACCGGGAGCGCTGACGTTCTTTTCTCCTGCTGGTACCTTGTGTTGACACTGTCCTCTTTCACCAGCATATTCTACCTGAAGAATGCCATTCTACAATAAATTTAAAGACCCATAAAAGGCTTTTAAGGATTCTCTGAAAGTGCTGATGGCTGGATCCAATCTGGTACAGTTTGTTAAAAGCAGCGTGGGATATAATCAGCAGTGCTTACATGGTGATGATCGCCTTCTGTAGAATTGCTCATTATGTAAATACTTTAATTCTACTCTTTTTTTGATTAGCTACATTACCTTGTGAAGCAGTACACATTGTCCTTTTTTTTAAGACGTGAAAGCTCTGAAATTACTTTTAGAGGATATTAATTGTGATTTCATGTTTGTAATCTACAACTTTTCAAAAGCATTCAGTCATGGTCTGCTAGGTTGCAGGCTGTAGTTTACAAAAACGAATATTGCAGTGAATATGTGATTCTTTAAGGCTGCAATACAAGCATTTTGTTCCCTGTTTCAATGAGAGTCAATTCACATTTACAAAGATGCATTTCTTTCTTTTTTGATAAAAAAGTAAATAATATTGCCTTCAGATCATTTCTTCAAAATATAACACATATCTAGATTTTTCTGCTCGCATGATATTCAGGTTTCAGGAATGAGCCTTGTAATATAACTGGCTGTGCAGCTCTGCTTCTCCTTCCTGTAAGTTCAGCATGGGTGTGCCTTCATAAAACAATATTTTCTCTTTGTCTCCAACTCATACAAAGTGTTTTGCTAAATCTTACAGTTTGGGAACCAAACTAAACCCTAATGATAGAATTGCACATGACCCTATCTCTAAGGAGCTATTGGACGATATTCTTTGGTAATCAGTAGGGTTTGAGAATTTTGCCCGAAAGTAACTTAGTTTTTGTGATTAAAAATAGTTTAACAACAGAGTGAAGTAAATGTACCATATGAGTTTTTTTAGTTAATATAAAATATTATATCAATACTGGGAAATAATTCTCATTAAAAGTGACAGCGCAGCTTGCTCAAGGGATTGCCTAGCAAGACGGGATCCTTTTCTCTCATTGTTCTAAGCCAACATTTTTAAGAGGGCTGTCAGAAAGAACAGAAAGTCCTATCATCTAATATTATACGAGTTGGTAAGTGCTCAAAATTAATTTGGTTTTGTGATAGGTAAGTAAATATGACAGAGATAGCGCTTCTACAGACAGAAGCATTTTGCATATTTTCTGCCTGAGAACGTCACTGACTTGATAGTTGAGAATGCATGTTACTTAAGAAGTTCCAAAATATAACAAGTATTTTATATTAGTATTCATCAGATCAGTCCCTGAAGTAACTAATTCTTTGATGAAACCCTTTCTCTATAGCTCAAACAAATGAAGCCCTCAAAATTACCATGCTTTCTATCTTCTTACATGATATTCTATAAGATATGATCAAAGATACCAGTGATGAGATTATCTTAAGATCTTTTAATTATGAAATCATTGTGAGTATTCAAAATGTTTTTCTACTTTAAAGAATGACAACCACATTTTTGAAGGAAAATGCTGTTCGTCTAGCTATATCTTACAGGAATAGGCTGACAGTTTCACTCTTTCCCAAAGAGAAACCACAGCCTTGAAAGCCATTTTACAGGTTGGAAGAAGTTGCCAACTTTAGCACACCTATATTTCTACAATCATCTTTTGTAAGTCATACAAAAACAAAGATTCTACTAAAAATGTTAGATACAAGACGTTTTAGAGAGGTTACACATGTTTAAGATAGCTACTACTTTGCCCTAGAAGGGATGGCTTAAAAATTGTGATTTTTTTAAAAATTCCAATAAAATATAGACACAACGTACACCATAAATCTGTTTTAATTAGAAAAATAAATCATAAATGAGGGAACATAAATACACAGTCTTCCCACAAAATGGCAATAATATGACCTAATGCTAATAAATTTACTAGCTGTAATAAATTCAGCACATTTTGATGGATTTATTAAAATGGGTTCTTAAAACTATGACACTTAAATTTATTGTGTATTTGTCTTTCAAAAATATATTCTTTGTGGAATTGGTGAGTAAACTACAAAATATTTTCTTTGTATTGCAGCTTTAAAGTGGCACACTCCGTAATAATCTACTTACTAGAAATAGTGGTGCTACCACAAAAGTGTTAACCATCTGTACCATCGTTTGAGAGAAAGAAACAGATCAAGAATGCATATTATACAGTGACCATTTTCCTAGAGTTAAAAATACCTCCTCGTTGTATGGTTTGTAGGGTACATGTGAGGTAAAATGAGGTATAAACTATGGATGAACCAAATAATTAGTTCAAAGTGTTGTCATGATTCCGAATTTGTGGAGTCCGGTGTTTTTCCCATAGAACGTGAGAAGTACAGTCATAGCTCAGTAGCTATATGTATTTGCCTTTATGTTAGAAGAGACTTTCTTGAGTGACATTTTTAAATAGAGGAGGTATTCACTATGTTTTTCTGTATCACGGCAGCATTCCTAGTCCTTAGGCCCCTGGACAGGGTGAAATCATGAGTATTTATGAGTTCAATATTGTTCAAATAAGACTACAGTATTTGCTTTTTGTGTGAATGTATTGCATATAATGTTCAAGTAGATGATTTTACATTTATGGACATATGAAATGTCTGATTACTCCATTTTATCAGTCCTGACTGTACAAGATTGTTGCAATTTCAGCATAGCAGTTTTATAACATTGATTTATCCTTCAATCTATGACAATTTTTTTTAGCTCTTCATTTTAGCATTATATTTTCCACAAGTTCCATTTGTGGGATTTCTTTTGTTGCCCCTAATTTCTTTCAAAGAAAGCTGAAAGGAAAATAAAGAGCAGTTGTGAGAGGAGAGAGGAAGACACAGAGATGGAAAGGAGGCAAAGAGGGAACCAAAAGGAGAGAAAAAAGAAGAAAGGAGGAAAGGTAGAAATGAGGAAGGAGGAGAGGAAGGGGAGAGCCAGAATATTAGGGCCCTTAACTTATTCATTTGCATTCTTAGTTTAAATGCAGGTGGTGTAATTACGTTTCACAATGATCTCATTCCAAGCATAAGTCCTGTTACACCATTAAATTCCTATTATGCAGCAATTATATAATGAAAAGTACTGCCCAAGTTATAGTATCATGTGTTTCTTTGAGACACAAAGATTTGAGAGAGAGAATTTCAAACATAAAGCCACTTTTGGGGAATTTATACCTTAGCTGAAAAATTAATGCTTCATCATAACATTTAAGCTATATCTAGAAAGTAGACTGGAGAACTAAGAAAATTACCCAGATAATTCAGGACGAAAAATATATATATAGTTAAATACCCCTATGTGTGAAGCCAGAAAACTTTGAGAAACTGAATTATCAAAGCCAATCATCTATATTGATGAAATTACTGAATAACTGTTAATTTATTCATTGTGCTTAGCTTTGTGACACAGCCAAAAGTTACCTATTTAATCTTTTCAATAAAAAATTGTTTTTTGAAATCCAGAAATGATTTAAAAGAGGTCAGGTTTTTAACTATTTATTGAAGTATGTGGATGTACAGTATTTCAATAGATATGAATATGAATAAATGGTATGCCTTAAGATCCTTTGAATATGTATTTACTTTAAAGACTGGAAAAAGCTCTTCCTGTCTTTTAGTAAAACATCCATATTTCATAATCTGATGTAAAATATGTTGTACTGTTTCCAATAGGTGAATATAAAGTCAGTTTATCAATTAAAATATGTATTTGACTCATTTAAAAAAATCTATTGGTATCAGAAAATAGGAGAAAATACTTATCTAAACATACTCCTGCTGTTCCATTTTAGGCTACATTCATCATCCACGCACACCTTTCTGGTACTCCAAAGCAATCTGGGGAGGAAACTTGTAATGCGCTAGCTTCAAGCAGTTCCACACTTTAGTCTTTCTCTCTGTTGCTGATTCCCAAAAGGTTCAAAAATCTGCATTACACCTAGCCAGAAAGAACTGTCCTGGAGATATGTTATTATCAATTATTTACATTTTTTATTGCTGAAATGCAGCAGAATTAACAATAAAGACTGATGACAGAGTCCTGATGATCTTACAGGTTAATCAACTTTTTAAAATGCCTGGAGAAACCAAGCAATGCATCATTTCTTAGAAGAACTGGATGTAAAATACAGAGGACAGTAAGCTCCCCACATGGTGTTCAGATGCAACTCTTTAAAACTACATCGTTTCCCAAATAAAACACTTAGTTGGACTAAGAGCTCTGAACTTGTGAGCACTGTGATATATCAATGGGAGTTCATTCCAAAGGAATGATTTAAGCCCTTTTCCCCAAATCTGTCCATTGAAAATAATCAACCAAATAAATGGGAACAATAGAGTAGATCAAACAAAACAAAAAACCATGAAAAAGATCCATGACTGGTTTAATAAGCTTTCTAAAAAATGAGTGTTACTGCTCTTCTGTGAAAACCACATACACCAAAACTCGCCCTACGAAAAGTGAAAACACACAAACATGTCTGAATTTCCCGCGGCCTCATTATTTATGCTTTTTCGAGTTCTGTCACGAGCATAACGGAAACAGCATTAAGCACACGATGTGGAAAACCAGCTCACGGAGCAGAGCTAGTTTCCCTCGGAACATAACAGTCACAACATAAACACTTCAAAAATGCACGCAGGGATTCAGAAAAGAATTACTCATTTCAGCTTGTCAGAAAGAAATGTAGGAATATAAGAGATTTTTTCCAAGAAAAACACACTCAAAATAGCGAAGTTTGATTCAAATCTAGAGGCTTTATGGGCTTCCCTGACATTCACCTATACATTTGTGGTATCGTTTCAAATCTACAGAAAATACGTAGGAATTGATATCTCTCCGAGAAACAGGAAACCCTGGCAAGCTAATCAAGTAAATGCTTGCCAGCTTTGTGGAGAGGAAAAGAAAGGAAGAGTTTCATTCTGTTCCCTACAAGCCATCACCCAGCCTTCCTCAGGCTAGATCAAAATCGCCCGCGGCCTTACCTCCAACAGCTGTCTCCACCTCAGAGAAGAATGGGGTGACTGGGGTTACCCCCGAAGGCTTGCAACTCTCCCACCTCGCACTCTATAATGGCAAAGCACTTGGCAGGTGGATAGATTTTGCTGCTTCAGCTTTCACAGCACTTTAAGGTAGAAAATGTTATTTTTGTCAAATATTAATAATGAGAGTGAGATTCAGAAATTTTAACTCACTTCCTGGGGACACACTTCTACACAGTGGAGAACTGGAGCCAAATGTGAAATACAGAAATACCTTCCATTTATTTCAGTTCTTAGTAGTCTGCCTAGAAATAGTGAAAGTTACTTTACAAATGTCTCTATGTGTATATAACTATTTATATATGAGTAGTTTTTGATTATCTATCTATCATCTTATCTATCCATCTATATCTATCATCTACCTCCCTCCCTTTATTTTCCAATGCCTCTGGAGAATATGAGGTTTAAAAGTAAATCAGGTTGTATATCTCACTGAAGCTTTTAGAGTGTGAAACGTAGAATGCAATTGGCTTCTAACACAGCCCTTGGTTGTATCAGTCCCATCACACCACATGTCTATAGCCTGCCATAGACACACATATATTCTTTCTAAATAGTATTTTGCAAAAATCTGCCAAATTTTGGATAATGTGTCAGGACTATGCCTCAGATACCTGTGAGTAAGAGAGTTCTTGGGGAACTAATGTCAGAATACACATAAATGCACCCCTTCTGCTTGAAATTTCCAATAAGATACTGGTTTTTATCTTGAATGATGTTGTGAGAACCACTTTTACCAAAATACTAATTATGTGTACCTCTTTTTGTTCTGGAACAGTCAGCAAGGGGGAAATTGTTACTGAAGAAACCAAACTATGTGCAACCTAAGAAATACATTTGTATTTTATTGTGAAAATATAATGCCAATCCTGTGGATATCATCTTTTAGTTTAAAGAATTTGGAAAATGTGACATTCATACTTTCATGAAATTAGCACATTAATTCATTAATAAGAGCCCTGATATGATGTTATAATTAAATAAAAGGAAAATCCAATGAACACACACGTTTATATATCAAGAATATTAAATTTAATATGCTAATGGAGGCAAACTCAGCTTTTTCCAGAGTGAGGAAGAGAATTCAACTGAAACTTTAATCACAACGATTTATTCCTATACGCAAAAAACATTTTCCTTAGTATCACTTACCTAAAATTTTTTAAAAGAGTTTGAATACAATGAAAAATACAAAGATTCACAGAGCCTGAAAAGCAGATTCACATAGCCTGAAATGGTATGCTCTATATAATCTATGATTCTTTATTATAGCAAAAATTTTGTCCTAAGATTATGAAATATAAAAATTTTAAAGTTAAACACATTGCTAGTATTTTGATCTTTGATAATATAATATTTATTTAAATGATTAAAATAACAAACTACTTATAAGTCTTATATTCTATATTCAGTATATTCTTCTTATTTCCTCCCTTATTTCACAAACCACTCTGTAGTCTGGAACCCATAGAAATGGCAGTAAAGAAAGTATAACAAGACCCAATTTAATTTAAGGATCTACTCTATTGAAAAATTAATGATTTTAGACACTTGTTAAATAACTTCATGAGAATCTTTGGTGGTGGGAACATTTAATTCATGGCATAATAGGGACTTCACATCAATAACAAGAAAAATGTAATAACAATGAGATACCACTATTTCATCAACCAAATATAATGAAAATGGTAAGAACATTCCAAAAAGTTATAGCAAGAGCTGAATGGTCTGATTCCTGGTAATGAGCCCAATCCTAGCACAAATCCTAGCTGCTGGCATCTCTATGGTTCATTAGGCTTTCAAAGTTTTAAAATGTAAAAGTGGGTGGATTTCTTCTTTCATTTCAAGTACATTGTTAAAAGCATTGGGACGGTCCTTGGTGGAACTTTGAATTTGCTGTTTTCTTCATGTGTTTTGACCTTTTGGCACTCAATAATGTTAATTCAATAGCAAAGCACAGCACATTTACACCTCCTGCAGATCTGAATTGTGCTTAAACAACAACACCAAGCACATGGAATTTCCTGAGAAAATTTGGGACATATTCTAGAAAAAAGACATATAAAATTTTCCTTGAAGACTGTAATATGCTAACAGTAAAGAACAAAGATTTCTTGATCTGAAACACCTAGTAGGGCCCACATATGTTTTACATAGTTTTCTAAGTTGTTTCACAAATGTGAATTATGCTTGCCCATAAACTGGAAATCTTCCTACTACTCATTTGACAAGTGACCTGGTAAAATGTGATCAATGGCTCACTTTTTACATACTCCTTAAGAAATTGTTACCAAAGATTTGAAATGGCTTCAAGTTGATGTCTTTTTTTGAAACAAAGCACATATTCACACATGAACACAAAATCACATTGCTATCTGTGATGTGCAAAAGAAGCCTTCAAGCTGCCCATGTGTTCTGGATAATTTAAAAAAAGAGACAGAAAAAATGACAACAGTATAACCAACAGTTTCTGTTTAAGTTTCATTTGCTAAGATTTTAGCATAAGGAACATCTTGTGATTTAATTAATCAGAAAATGGCACCTGCTTTAAATGCTGAAATAGAGAAAAGCAGATCTTTTTGAAAAATTTGGAATCAAATTTGTTTCTGGAAATACATCTCTCCTGTTGGTAGACAACTATTTCATGTTTTGGAACATCTTGCTGCCTAATACCTTTAAATGTTGACAAAGACAAAGCCTGGGTCTGGTTTGGTTTTGTTTTGTTTTTAATTTGAAGTAAGCTCTATTTTTCCAAAATCTGCTTTTCCAATTTATAGATAGGCAAATTTAGAATGTTTTCAGAAATTTTTGT